TGTGAAATGTCACATGGGTTTATCACTGGGAGTCAAGGAATCAACACAACTGCATGCTTTGCTGTCTGTGTGTGAATGGATTAACAAATGTGCAGTGACCACTGGCAGACCCTAAAAAAGCAACATTATTGGTCATTGATGATAATGCACATGTATTGTGTTATTCACAAAGTGCTTTGTGAACTGAAGAGCTAGCAGTAACATTTGTACTTTCTGCAATTACTCACAGTTATCATACCACGGTCACTAAAATCTGAACCCTGTTGTTGCAGGAGTGGTTTATTTAACTAAACCATCTTAGTCAGTTCGGGCTGCTATAATAGAATATCATCAAGTAAATGGCTTAAACACCAAATATTTATTTCTCACAGTTCCAGAGGCTGCAAAGTCCAAGATCAAGGTGATGGTAGTATGGTGTCTGATGAGAATTGTCTTCCTGGTTTGCAGACAGCCTTCTTCTCTTGTATCTTCACATGGTGGAGAGCAGAGAGAGAGGAAGCAAGCGCTCTTGCGTCTCTTCTTAGAAGGGCACTAACACGAAGACTCTACTCTTGTGATCTAATTACCTCCCATAGTCCCCATCCCACAATCACACTGGGGTTCAGACTTCAACCTATGAATTTTGGGGAGACACAAATATTCAGTCCATAGCACCATAGTAATTGAAATTTGTGAAAATCAGAACTGCACAAAGCAAGCACACACATAACACATGCACACACACACACACACACACACACACACACACAATGTATCATAACCTGGTCTCATAATTCAGTTATTCTTTTTCCTTTTTCAAGTTTTATTTATTTGCTTCAATCTCTTTCCTATTCTTTCTGCTCAGATGTTTTTTCTCCTTTTCTCTCTCTTTCTCTTTTAACTTGCAACTTTATGTCCTCTTCCTTTATTTTTCCCTATAGGAGAAGACCTACGCAGGCTTTCTGGAAAACCCTAGAAAAGCTTCAGCAAGCTCCCCACTGCTCTCAGTTAAGTACTGGGTGGATAATTCTCTAGCCAGTTTATCACAAAGGTATTTTTGGGGCATAGTTGGTGATTGGTGGGTGCCACCCTTGCTCAGATACAATGAGCATGCTTTCTATTTGTGGGTTTCTCATACTTATGAGAATGAATCCATACTCAACAAAGTGAGGAACTAAATTCAGAGGGCACTGCTTGAACATTTTTAAAGTTTAGCTGCAGGAAAATTTATGATAGATTGAATGCACAAATGGCCTTTGTTTTCTACCCATCTTTGTGTCCACTCCTTTGTAACATGACTTTGTAGCTCCCTGCTCACTCCTTGAATCTGGGCTGGCCTTGAGACTTGCCTTGGACAGTTGAATGAGATCAAAGTGACAATGTGCCAGTGCCTTGCATGCTTCTGCTCTATCTTGGCCCACTATGGGTAGGAACTTAGCTACCTTAGGTTGAGACACCATGTAGAGAAAAGTTCAGTTGTCCCAAGCAAAGCCATCCTAAATAAACCTACAGTCAGAAAACCCCCATATATGTGAGAATGTCCAGCCAAGATCAGCAGAGCTTCCAACCTGCTCATGGATGCATGAATGAGCCCAGCTCAGGTTAGAAAAATGGCTCAGCTGATCCGTAGACTAGTGCAACATAGTAAATGTGCATTATTATAGCATTTAGGGCTTTTTAAATTCAGTTAGTCAAATTATACAATGTTGTTTATGGAGGCAATGCTTTTTTATTAACCTTAGCTGTTGCTGAAATCTATAAAAATGTCCTTTTCTTAGTCCTGAGAGTAGGTGTGGTTAACTCCAAGCCAATTTTCCCACTTTAAACAGACCTCTTAGGGGACCATCAATGTCAGGGCTGCTGAACTGTCCAATCTGGAAGGATAGGGACTGTGTCTGTCTCTCTAATCACTGCTTAGTCAGCATGTTGCAAAGTATGTGCTGTACAGAATCACTCCATAAATGTTTATTGAATGAATGAAGGCTGAAAGACCTTCTTGAGCAGGAGCAATACCTCTAGGAAAACTTGATTAATACTCAAAAGGTCTCAATATTTTGGAAAGGTTTTCCTTATTTTTTTTAATATCAACTTAAAAATACAGCCTTTTTTTCCTCCTGAGAAGAAAAAATTTTCCCTTTTTCTACAAGTGATAGGGTTTCAGTGCAAAATGAAAATGGAAACGCTTTTAGAAATGCAATAATATGAAGATAAACAGGCCAGATGATGGTGTCTGTCAGGATCACCATTATTAAGAAGAGTATCTTTGAGACACGAACTTTGGAGGTGGCTTTGTCCACTCATCTATATTTTCTTATCTGGAGGTCCTTGTGAGCAAGGCCACAGATTTGAAAACGGCAGCCTGAGTTTAGAATTTAGATCCTATAACCCATCCATGGCTCACAAAGCTTGGGGTGGGGAGAGCAGACATTTTTTTTATTAAACCTCGATGATGTCCTGAGGCTCTATCAGACTAAGAACCAGCTATAATCTAAAGTGAAGGGGACAGGAAAGAAAAAAAGAATTTGAATACTTTATTTTCTTTTTTTTAGAAGAGAATCATTCACTTAAAATCTGGCAGAAATTTCCTTAATTGACATTTTTAAAGAATCATAACTTACAAACTTCATTAGAAAGCCCATTGCTGGTAAATTGAGAGAACGTCAACATTTCCAAGGAGTAAATAGAACCATTTGGTATATGTCCAGGGCAACTTTTTAAAGTATGCAATCAAAATGTAATAAACAGTGTCCGAGAGGCAGGAACATCTATTCTTTAGCACCTTGCTCGTACAAAGGAGGCAGATTCTGTAGCAGATAGTATACCTGCTCAGTATCCCAGATAGTTTCCCGGTGTTTGTGATTTGCAAATAAGGAGGTTGATAGATCCCAAGATGGCCCATGTAATACAGAAGATCACTTAGCTGCCCAAAGAACTAGTCTAACCTGAACCATTGTGATTCACTTCCAGTCTCCAGTCACTCTGACAATCTAACTTCCATCCATGCTTAACAAGCATTCTTTATTCCTCTACCCCCAAGAAAGGACTAACACATGGGGGAAAAAAAATCAAACCTAATTTTTTAAATTTAATTTTTAAAATTTTATTTGAAAAATACAATACACAGCAGAGAATTATTTCCTCCTCTACTGTTCTTTCACAAAGGAAACTGCATGGTCAATGTAACTGAGATATTTGGCTAGGATAGATCCTGAGAAAAGAGAGGCCCAGTTAAAAGTGGAATAGACAAAGTCTGCCAAAGAAGGTTCACCTCTCTTTTAACATAAAAGAGCCTTTTAAATAATCTTAGGAATCAGATAAAACATGTGCAGAATTTCTGCCATGCAAACAGAGACTACCGAAATTGTCAGGCTGACCAATTTATACTGACTTGGGCCCCCAGTAAGTAGGATAAAAAGATGTTTTTATCAGCAAGATGTGTTTGCTTGCTTTTACTAGACTATATATGTACATATTTACAAATTAACATTTTCTTAAATGTGTTTTCCGTTATTCTTAGTTACAGTATCATTGTTAAGGGCTCTTTGCTGGCTTTTTGCCTTATGCATGGGTATCTTTTTATTCTCCTGAAATTCCTTCATGGCAGGATCATTCATTGCACAATCTTGGGCCCATGGTGTTTAAATATTAGAGATGACCTTACTCTGATCCTGGAGTAAATGTGGGTTTTTGAGGAATTTATAACTCCTGCATTCGACTAGGTTTAGCAAGGTGCAAAGATACAACATTTACATGTGAATATATAGCTAAGGCTTCCAAGAGGAAAAACATTCCAATTGGCTCCTTGGAAAACTGATGCTAGAACGGACTGAACTGATCTAATTCTGGAAGTCTTACTGGTAATTCTTCCTCCTACAACATTAGGATCATCCCTTTCACTTCCATTCCCAATAAGTGAATTCCCCATTACTGTTATTGCATAAACAGTCTTTAAAGAGGGTCAAGGCAGTCCAAGCTTTTTCATGTTCTACATTTCCACCAGAATTGAATTTGGTATAGAAGTCTAAAATTGGTGGAAATATGGATTATCTGGGTTTGACCCTACTAGAAGTGTTTTTACTTCTACAGCAATGGAAAAGAGCAAGTGACATCTATTTTGGGAGTAATGGCCAAGTCTTTGGTTATAGTTATTTGCTGATATCTATTGAAATTACAGAGAAAAATAAAAGTTTATTTTCTTTAGTACTGGCAAGGTTAGGAAGATTCATTTTAGTCAAGTAACTACTGCTCATATAAGACAAAGCTACTCAGGGTAGCTTTAAAGATTGCAAAGTTATGGTTGAGGAGTACATATTATTGTTTTCTCATAGTCCAGTTCATCTTCCTCATATTATCATGAATCTCATCCTTAATTCCACATGCTCCTTGCAAGGTGTGTCCCTTGGGGCCTCTCCTGAGGGCTGGGGGCTGGGGCATGGGGATGAGGGTGGCTGGAAAGCCATGTGATTTAGATTTCAACTTTACAAAAGACCACACATCTAGACTCTTGATGCTATTATTAAATAGGATTATAAATTGGTTACTATATAGTTGTATATTTGAAAAGTGTTCATTCTTAAAACATAAGCATTTAAAATACAGAATAGCTTTTGTAATTCTATTTTGGCATTTCTTCATTTTTTAAAACATAGGTAGTTGTCCAGGACTCTACTGACCTCTGAAAGGCCTCAATGCATCCAAAATGACACGGCAGCTGTGGCATATTTGAAAGGAAGTTTGGGGTCAGGAAACCTGAATTTAAGTTTTAACTGCCTCTAACCAGTTGGGTGGAATTGGGCACCTTATTGACCCTGCCTTGGCTTCATTTTTCTCATCTAGAAAACTAAAGTCATAGTCTTTATGTTACCCAGGGTTATTGTGAGGATTAAATGAAATAATAAATGAAAATATAGTTTGTAAAGTAAAAAGTGCTACACAAATGCAAAGTGAAATATGTTAACCACATTTCCAGCATTTATATAATGTAAATTATGTGTCAGGGTATGGTTCTTTCCTATTTAGATTATGTGGATTCTTGACTAGTAAAAAACCTAAGAATGGAGCCTTTGATCACTCTTAAGACACTGTTATCAATGGAACATTGCTCAATAAATAGGTATCACTGCTGGATTTAGTCATTTAAACTATCCTAAACATAGCCTGCATTCAAAAACTACAAGTCAACAATTAAATCACAATTTTCAGGAACAAAAGTCCAAATAAATAATTTTTAATTATGATACATTACTTATTACAGTAAAAATTGGCATTTTCCCCTTCAAAAGCAGAAGCACCAGTCTTAGAATGTATAGTATGAATGGTATTTTAAGTGAAATATAGCATAATATTATGTGCAAACATTATTTTAGTATAGAACATACTTTCTAAAAGTAAAGTAATTTCACACACTGAAATCTGTTAGAATGGAAATAATGTCATGCTGAATAATAAAATAAAAACCCCCATGACTTTCAAAGTCCACTTCAAATGAAATATGATATACTGCTGAATAGATATATGAAAAATTAAAAAGCTTAACTGGCCCGAAATAGAGGGATTTCTTATACAAATATGACTCATGTAGAGGTTTCTTTTCACATAGTCTCATTGATTCTGTGAGAAATTAAAGTGAGTGTTTTATTTAAGAATTAATTTGTTCCTTCGGTCATTGCATTTCTATTGAACACCTACTTTGTGCGAGGCTTTGTTGTAGGTGCTGGGGATACGGAGAAGAAAGACACAGTCCTGCCCTTGAGGAGCTCACAGTCTAGTGGGGGAAACAGATAAGTTGACACTGATTTTAAAATTATAAAAATTATTAGACAACTTTATAAACTTCTTCTGTAATCAAACAAACTTTGGGTGTTATGAATGGATGGTGAAAAGGGACGATGTCCAATGCAGTGAAAACCCATCTGCTTCAATATCATGTGACTTCTGCGAAGGCGGTGATGTGGTTCTGCAAGAAGAAAGAGGAATTACCAAGTCAGAGTCTTGGGGAAATTGGCTTTGTAAAATATTTAGTGCTTTTACAAATAATCATCAGCCTAATATAAAACTGGAGCCTGGTATGTTTAAGATGCAAAAACACTGAGTGTTACTAAAATAAGTTCTATGTATTATTAATAAATTCAGGTGGTAATTATATATTTTATTCAATATTCTTAATTAACCAAATAGATTAAAATGTTATACGTACGTGCTTTATTCAAAATTAACACTGAAATTTGGAGAGATAAAATTGGTAATGTCAGACACGTTAATAATCTGTTCAGTGTTAATGGAATTTTAATGCTGCGTGTTGGAGTTTCAGATTAATTGCTCCCTGTGAGACAGATGGCATAGAAAGAGGTGGTGAAATACTCAGACTGAAATGGCATTTGCTAGTTGACAAAGATCTACTTAAACACTTTATTTTTGATGCATGAATCCAGACTACAGACTGCAATCCTCGTCATTTACCTCAACCATAGAATTCTTTACAGAGCCATTTTTTTTAAAGCAACAGAATTATGTACAAAGAAACACTGTGGAATGGCTAATATTTAAATGGATTCAGACATGCAACAGGACATATCATGGCTGCTGAAATACTGTAGTGGAAAATTGATGTGACATAATTAATCATGCCACATACAGAGTTACGTCAAGATCTAACATAAACGACAGTCCCAACAAATAACAGCAGCATTACAGAGGCTTTTTACCATCATATTACCTGTTTTGAATGTTTTTCATAGTAGTTTTTGTATTGACTCTTTATAAGTCAAAGACATAATAGATAGAATTTCAGGTAATGAATGCATGTCATGAGAGTTCTTCCATGTACATACAGCTCTTTTCAAGTTAAAGTGTTTTAACTATTTAAAACATTTTAAAAATGTGTGTGAAGAAATTCAAATTTATTTAGGCATATTAATTACAATTAAAAGGATATCACTGACTCCTGCTTAAGGCATTATTTTCTGGGTTTGACCCACTTAAACCTAGAGAAAAACAATATCCAGAAGAATCAGTAGTGAGCAGAGCATGCTTTTTCACTAACTCCTGTTAAGACCTTATAAACTTTAATTTTCCATTAAAAAAAATGCATGATGAAAATGTTGGAGAATTCAGCAGCTCAGCTCTGTCTTCTTGAGTTTACCTTACAAAAGCACAAGCATGACTTTAGGATAAAAAAAGACTTGTCAGAGTTACATAATGCACTATGATTGAATAAAAGCCATAAGCATTGTGGAAACAGTAGAGCATAGTTTTATTTCCAGTGGCCCCATGGGGACTTGAAATCTGTGAAGTGAGAAAATACAATTTGATATACAGTGTTTCAGTACAAAACAGGAGTGTCACACCTCTGGACAGGACCTAGCACACAGTAATTACTGAAAAATGTGTTGAGATATAAATTGAAGATTAATCAGTGGCAACTGGTGGGTAGGAAAAGCATGAAGAAGTGACAGTAGAAAGAAAGGAAAGGAGATAAGAAGAGAAAATGGATGGTGTTCTGAAGGCCATTGGCCTAGGTGTCAGTGTTCTCTTGACCTACATAATGAAGTGTCCACAAGGCTCACTAAATTTGCTGAAGATGATCCTAAGTGAAGGGGACAACCATCACCTTGGAAGGTAGAATGGAAACATTAAAAGATCTTAAGCAGAGAAAGTATCAGAAACAAATCATTGATAATCAACGCAAGGGAGGACAGAAGCAGAGGAAAAATCAAGTGACAAGTGCAAGCTGGAGAGAGTGACAAAGAATGTGCAATGACTGTAGGGCGACCATATAAATTATCATCTAAACCTGGACATACTGAGGGGAAAAAGGATGCTAATAATATAGAGGCAACAGGTTGAAATTGGGACTGTCCCAAATAGAGACATAGGGTCACCTTAGAAATAAGGCGTTGAATGTATAACTGTTAAGTGTGTTGTTGTTGTCTAGGAAATACTGGATTCAGTTTTGGCATTTAAAAATCACGTTTTGGTGGCTAATAGATCTTTCTTTCACTGCCCATAAATTCCAAACAATATTACCATTTTCATTATGCTAAGTCATTACCAAGTTAAACTACAAGGGTTACAGTTTGTTTCCAGACTGACTACATTTTTAGATCCCATGACTCTAGGGAAACTCCTGCTTTTTTCTGATTAGCACCCTTTCAGTTTCACATCACACTTAAGCTTTAACCTCTGAGATGATTTTCCTATTTGACTGGAATTAGAAGGATCCTGCTCAGGGCTTATCATTTAAAGGTGGTCGTTAGCAGAGAGATAAACAGATGAAAATAAAACACTGAAGTGACTGTGCATAGGGAAGAGAAAATTAAGAGGAAATTTAATAATGGGTTCTAAGTACATGAAAGCAGTATATAGAGAGCACAGGAGCCATCTGTTCATTAGTTTCACTATCTAAGAGCAAATGAGCCCATACCATAGAATGAGGGAGATGGATTATTTATTTCAGTAGTATTTAAAAAATAAGATTAATTTCTCTTCTAGCATACGGGTGGTTTTCCCTGCAGGAATCTAGAGAAAGGACAAGCTAATTACTTAAAGTCCTTACCATCTATAAGCCCCTATGATTCTATACTATAAAAATTACATTAGCAAGATATGTAAATGCATAATTTGAAATACACAAATGGCATAATTCTTAAGCAGGAAGTTACGATAGTGCTCACTTCCCCATCAGCATTTTTCTCAGTAATATAAAAAACCAGAATTACATTTCATATTTTCACATCACCTGTCTGGAGGAATGGACTCCCTATGACAAAGTAGGTGACAAAGGGTTTCTCCTTTTAATCTGGCTGAATTCTTAGTCTGCAATACTAAATCATATTAGTAGATGATAGCGCAAACACACAGGAGGCAAACCAAAAACTCATGCATAAAAGTTTAATTCAGAGTCACAAGAAGAAAGCAGTCATGTAATTTATCAGTGCAATTACTGGTGCCTTCCGCAATTACATACACAGAGGCTTCTAGTGGAGATGACAGAGCTTGAGCCCAAAGAGTTGAAGACTAGAATATGCCTCATCCATTAGAAAGTGTCCATCAAGGCCACAGCAAATCAGTGAGCAAAATACTGAATCCAGTCCTTGAGTGCAGAGGTCCCATGGAAAAACAAACATTTGCTTCTCAAAAGTAGTTTTGGATTCTTAAATCTGGTAAATTCTAAAGTTTATCTAGCCAATTTTTGAAGCTCTAAGTTCTACGTGAAAATCTCTATTTTACTGTTTATTCTATACCTCCATTTGTAGAAATTATATTCTGTAATTCAAAAAAGTTATTTAAAACAAAACTGTCATTTATTTATGACATGAATATTTGGTGGTGACTTGCCACCTGACAAGATATGCCACTCACCATTTCCCTTTGCAAAAAATAGGGGAATAGGCAAAAAGAGCACTTCAGATAGGAACATAAAAAAAAGTCATAATCATTTAGGGCTATTTGGTTAAGGAATGCTAAATTCCCGTTAATGAGTGAAAAAATAGTGAAAAAATAAAATATATTTGAAACATAAAAGAACTAACAACAACAACAACAATCTAATACCCAGATTTTTGAATGTAATAGAAACCTGCACAGAAGGACACATTTTCTGTATTTGCCTTAGCTTTGCAACCCAACTCCAACACCAGTGCGCTCTAGCGCACATACGTTTATTGCCTTAATTGAAGGTGTTCACAGTGGCTTATTCCCACTATCCAGCTGAAGAGCCTTGCAAGACAGTCTTTAAAAGACCTTCCCTGTGAATTTTCTTCTTGACCATTCTCAATACATTGGATTTGAGACACCTGCAAAATATGTTTTATATATTATTTAAATGTTTATTTAAATACTGACTTATTTACTTGGACAAAATATTAGTTTACTTAAAGTTCTATGTTGTTATATTGTTAGACCAAATGCTGAGGTTAAACATCGTTCCAGTTTTCTATCTTTCAAGATGATTATAAACAGCTTCTGTGTTTTAATAGATGGTTGTCAGCAATCAGCTTAGGTTTTAAACCTAAACATAAAATGAAATCTGTGCATACAATGTCTTTAATTCAACTATTTTTGTCTTCGGCTCTATTTGAAAGGAAGCTGTGTGGTACAGTGGACTTTGCAGTCAAGTTGTGTGAATGTCAGGTGTTTGAAGGTGGGCTTCATGACAACTGAAATTTTCACGAGCAATTTAAACTTTCAGAGACCCAGCTTTCTCATCTGTGAAATGGAAATAATACCTATTTGAATGGATTTTTATTAAGATTAAATGAGATTATATGCACAAGGGTCCTTGTTTCTACTCAAACATATCATTATAGTTGTCTATAAAAGCCAGAGAAACAAGATAAAAAGTAAAAGAAAAAAGAGAAAGTAAAAGACAGAAAGAAAAAAGATTTTTTAAATAATTGGTTGGAATTTCACAGTACTATCATCTACAATTCTAAGACCCAAACAAACTTTTTTTTTGTTTTTTTGTGAGGAAGATCAGCCCTGAGCTAACATCCATGCTAATCCTCCTCTTTTCGCTGAGGAAGACCGGCTCTGAGCTAACATCTATTGCCAATCCTCCTCCTTTTCTTCCCCCCAAAGCCCCAGTAGATAGTTGTACGTCATAGCTGCCATCCTTCTAGTTGCTGTATGTGGGACACGGCCTCAGCATGGCCGGAGAAGCGGTGCGTCGGTGCACACCGGGGATCCGAACCCGGGCCACCAGCAGCGGAGCATGCGCACCCAACCGCTAAGCCACAGGGCCAGCCCCCCAAACAAACTTTAAAACCCAATGTTTCTTATAAGATTAGTGTGAGCACATCTGGTGACAAAAATCAAGCCTAAACTGCTGTGAGGCAATTTATACTCGATGTTGTGCTGCAGAAATATCCATCTTTGATTGGATGTGCTGCTCAAGACTCTGCTTGTATAACAGAATGCACAGTATTTTTCCCTAAAACATGAAATATTTTGAAACCT